TTTTTTTTCCTGATTGACCTAAAAATCCCAAAAAATTCATAGACACTAATTCAGACCCATAATGAACGAATTTGATGTCAGATTCGAGAAAGAACCCTTTCCCTAGATTTTCAAAATCAGCGGTTCACGCAATGCAGTAGGCTATACTGGTCGAAAAATTTTTTTTTCCTGATTGACCTAAAAATCCCAAAAAATTCATAGACACTAATTCAGACCCATAATGAACGAATTTGATGTCAGATTCGAGAAAGAACCCTTTCCCTAGATTTTCAAAATCTGTGGTTCACGCAATGCAGTAGGCTATACTGGTCGAAAAAAATTTTTTTTCCTGATTGACCTAAAAATCCCAAAAAAATCATAGACACTAATTCAGACCCATAAAGAACGAATTCGATGTCAGATTTGAGGAAGAACCTTTCCCCTAGATTTTCAAAATCAGCGGTTCACGCGATGCAGTAGGCTTATACTGGTCGAAAAATATTTTTTTCCTGATTGACCTAAAAATCCCAAAAAATTCATAGACACTAATTCAGACCCATAAAGAACGAATTCGATGTCAGATTTGAGGAAGAACCCTTCCCCTAGATTTTCAAAATCAGCGGTTCACGCGATGCAGTAGGCTTATACTGGTCGAAAAATAATTTTTTCCTGATTGACCTAAAAATCCCAAAAAATTCATAGACACTAATTCAGATCCATAAAGAACGAATTCGATGTCAGATTTGAGGAAGAACCTTTCCCCTAGATTTTCAAAATCAGCGGTTCACGCGATGCAGTAGGCTTATACTGGTCGAAAAATAATTTTTTCCTGATTGACCTAAAAATCCCAAAAAAATCATAGACACTAATTCAGACCCATAATGAACGAATTTGATGTCAGATTCGAGAAAGAACCCTTTCCCTAGATTTTCAAAATCTGTGGTTCACGCAATGCAGTAGGCTATACTGGTCGAAAAAAATTTTTTTTCCTGATTGACCTAAAAATCCCAAAAAAATCATAGACACTAATTCAGACCCATAATGAACGAATTTGATGTCAGATTCGAGAAAGAACCCTTTCCCTAGATTTTCAAAATCTGTGGTTCACGCAATGCAGTAGGCTATACTGGTCGAAAAAAATTTTTTTTCCTGATTGACCTAAAAATCCCAAAAAATTCATAGACACTAATTCAGACCCATAATGAACGAATTTGATGTCAGATTTGAGAAAGAACCCTTTCCCTAGATTTTCAAAATCAGCGGTTCACGCGATGCAGTAGGCTTATACTGGTCGAAAAATAATTTTTTCCTGATTGACCTAAAAATCCCAAAAAATTCATAGACACTAATTCAGACCCATAAAGAACGAATTCGATGTCAGATTTGAGGAAGAACCCTTCCCCTAGATTTTCAAAATCAGCGGTTCACGCGATGCAGTAGGCTTATACTGGTCGAAAAATATTTTTTTCCTGATTGACCTAAAAATCCCAAAAAATTCATAGACACTAATTCAGACCCATAAAGAACGAATTCGATGTCAGATTTGAGGAAGAACCCTTCCCCTAGATTTTCAAAATCAGCGGTTCACGCGATGCAGTAGGCTTATACTGGTCGAAAAATAATTTTTTCCTGATTGACCTAAAAATCCCAAAAAATTCATAGACACTAATTCAGACCCATAAAGAACGAATTCGATGTCAGATTTGAGGAAGAACCCTTCCCCTAGATTTTCAAAATCAGCGGTTCACGCGATGCAGTAGGCTTATACTGGTCGAAAAATATTTTTTTCCTGATTGACCTAAAAATCCCAAAAAATTCATAGACACTAATTCAGACCCATAAAGAACGAATTCGATGTCAGATTTGAGAAAGAACCCTTTCCCTAGATTTTCAAAATCAGCGGTTCACGCGATGCAGTAGGCTTATACTGGTCGAAAAATAATTTTTTCCTGATTGACCTAAAAATCCCAAAAAATTCATAGACACTAATTCAGACCCATAAAGAACGAATTTGATGTCAGATTCGAGGAAGAACCCTTCCCCTAGATTTTCAAAATCAGCGGTTCACGCGATGCAGTAGGCTTATACTGGTCGAAAAATATTTTTTTCCTGATTGACCTAAAAATCCCAAAAAATTCATAGACACTAATTCAGACCCATAAAGAACGAATTCGATGTCAGATTTGAGGAAGAACCTTTCCCCTAGATTTTCAAAATCAGCGGTTCACGCGATGCAGTAGGCTTATACTAGTCGAAAAATAATTTTTTCCTGATTGACCTAAAAATCCCAAAAAATTCAAAGACACTAATTCAGACCCATAAAGAACGAATTCGATGTCAGATTTGAGGAAGAACCTTTTTCCTAGATTTTCAAAATCAGCGGTTCACGCGATGCAGTAGGCTTATACTAGTCGAAAAATAATTTTTTCCTGATTGACCTAAAAATCCCAAAAAATTCAAAGACACTAATTCAGACCCATAAAGAACGAATTCGATGTCAGATTTGAGGAAGAACCTTTCCCCTAGATTTTCAAAATCAGCGGTTCACGCGATGCAGTAGGCTTATACTAGTCGAAAAATAATTTTTTCCTGATTGACCTGAAAATCCCAACAAATTCAAAGACACTAATTCAGACCCATAAAGATCGAATTCGATGTCAGATTTGAGGAAGAACCCTTCCCCTAGATTTTCAAAATCAGCGGTTCACGCGATGCAGTAGGCTTATACTAGTCGAAAAATAATTTTTTCCTGATTGACCTGAAAATCCCAAAAAATTCAAAGACACTAATTCAGACCCATAAAGAACGAATTAGATGTCAGATTTGAGGAAGAACCTTTTTCCTAGATTTTCAAAATCAGCGGTTCACGCGATGCAGTTGGCTTATACTGGTCGAAAAATAATTTTTTCCTCCGATTGGCAGCAAATATTAATTTTGCTGACACATATCAATCAGCAAAGTATTACTTTTCCTGCCTAGGCAGCAAAGTGGGTACTTTGCTGCCTAGGCAGCAAAGTGGTCACTTTGCTGATTGATATGGATCAGCAAAATTAAAAATCCATAAATCGTTTATAATTTCCTTCATATTTCTTCCGAGACTTCTCCGGCAACAAATTCAACTCTATATTTTTTGCCACCTCCCTTATTAATGGAGGTGTAAGTATACTTCTAGGTCGCTATCACTGTCCATTATATAATAATTTAAATATACCGATATTTTTTCGCACAACTGTCAGAAATTTCATGAATTGTCAAACCAACAACTGCGATTTCTATCAAATTTTATTTTAATTAACACTATACAGGAAGAATAAAGAGATTGTGGGAATTGTATTAATTCGCAAATACAATATTCTCCCATATCATTATAAACAATCGGAGAAAAAATTATGTGTTCAACTCGGCAGCAAGGTAGATTGACTGCCTTAGCTGGATTCCTAGCCTCGCTACGCTCGGCTATGAATTCAGCCACGGCAGTCAATCTACTACTTTGCTGCCTAGTTAAACAAATAACTATTTTCCTGATTGACCTAAAAATCCCAAAAAATTCATAGACACTAATTCAGACCCATGAATAACGAATTTGATGTCAGATTCGAGGAAGAACCCTTCCTCTAGATTTTCAAAATCAGCGGTTCACGCGATGCAGTTGGCTTATACTGGTCGAAAAATAATTTTTTCCTGATTGACCTAAAAATCCCAAAAAATTCATAGACACTAATTCAGACCCATAAAGAACGAATTTGATGTCAGATTCGAGGAAGAACCCTTCCCCTAGATTTTCAAAATTGGAGGTTCACGCGATGCAGTAGGCTTATACTGGTCGAAAAATAATTTTTTCCTGATTGACCTAAAAATCCCAAAAAATTCATAGACACTAATTCAGACCCATAAAGAACGAATTTGGAATACGAACAGAGTTGGTAGTGGTTAATGGCGCTTCAAATGCAGATGGCTATATACAGCATGTCATACCATTCGCCTCCCATATCGGAGAAAACTTCTTGTTAATGCACGATAATGCCCCCCCTCACGTGGCTCGGCCAGTCTCCAACTTTTCGAATACAGTCGGAATAAGAGCAATGGATTGGCCTGCATGTTCGCCAGACCTTGATCCAATCGAACATGTATGGAACATGTTGGGTAGACGATTAAGGTCCAGAATTCCCGCTGTACAAAATCCCGAGCAAGTAGCAGCAGCTCTAGTTGATATTTGGGATAATCTTCCTCAAGAAATTATCGATAATGTCATCGAAAGAATGAGCAGACGTATGACTGCTATAATGAGAGCGCGTGGAGGTCAGGTTAGGTTAATGAAATCATTGTTGGTGTTTTGAATCCGTATTGTACGTTAAGTTAATGTTATTGTTATTGAATGAAGACTTTGAAAAAATTACATCTCTTTTTGATAATATCTGTATATTTCTAAGAAATCTTGTCACAATATACTAATAAGTGAAAATGAGAGCAATATTCAACTTGAAGGGGAAATTATCTCAGAAACAACCTGAGAAACGACACATTTTCAGATCCAATTCGAGTTTCGAGGTGGTAAAATTAATACCAATATCCAGCTTTCCTTTGAAACACTGTATTTTCTTGAATAATTGAGATATCAAGATGAATAAAGAACGAAAATATTCGGAATAGATTGGGCTACAATTTGGTGTTGAGAAAACGTTTCAATTATCAATGGTTCACTCCACAGGATGTCTTGAAGAATACCGAAAAATCCGTACTTTCTTTACACCCCTGTATATGATATGAGGACGAATCGTTTGAAGGTGGTCATTTCTCAGATGTATTCGTGAAGAATAAAGCTTCAATTAGTGGAAAAAAAATTGAAATCGAGCAACGGGTTCGAGAGAAAATTGATGTCAAACTTAGTGTAAATTTTGCCCGTTCCCCTAATTGTGCCAGTGTGTGTACTTTTGAAATTTTTATTTCTATCGAAACTACTATACACTCCCCAACAAAACTTCGTTTTTCTCGGAAGTAAATGTCTCTCATATTATTAAAAGGCAGCCCAATGTTTTGAGAAAGTCCTCAAAGCTCAACCGGGCAACTACGAAACAATGAAAATCCTCGGTTCTCTCTACGCTAACTCCACTTCACAATCGAAAAGGGACATCGCCAAAGTCCATCTGAAAAAAGTCACCGACCAATTTCCCGATGATATCGAGGCGTGGATCGAGCTGGCCCAAATAATGGAGCAGAGCGACCTGCAGGCGTCGCTGGGGGCCTACGAGACCGCCATGCAGTTGCTGAAAAAGAACGTGCAGACGGAGATACCGGTGGAGATTTTGAATAATGTCGGTGCGTTGCAGTACAGGTAAGGAATTCGGAGTACTATTTTTATTAGGGAACTCTAATGCTGTGTTGAGTGAAAAGGACCCCGCACTAAACTATAGGGAAAATGGCTCTCGATGAAAATCGCTGAAATTTTGGTATGTTGCAGACTTTGATATACTGAACAGATATTCCATTGAACGAACCTCAAAAAATGGACAGTTTTTCCGATATAGACCTTCAAATGTCATTTTTTTCACAAAAAAAAAGTATCTGAAAATGGTTGAATTTTTGGCATGTTGTAGATAGGAATGAACTGATGAAAAAATCCAATTGACCTAACCTCCAAAAATTGACAGTTTTTAGATATTGACCTCCAAGTGTACGAATGGAAAATAAGATGAATGGAACAATAATCAATAGACAAAATTGCTGTTCAATTAATTAGTATTTGGCCTTCCATTCTTCTTGAAACAAATCTTCTTCATATGATACATGCACAGGTGAAGAAAACCCAAGAGGGGATGTAATTAAATAAATATTATTTAAAAGATGGTTATAGTCTTTCCGAAATCAATGGGGTTGTAGGTATACACTCAAGTCGAATTTATGCCATATATCTATTTTATTTTGATCATTCCATCTATTATAAAATTCGATGCACCCCAAATATATTTTTTTTAATAATCACCTCCCAGCAACACTATAGCCGCCGATGACGTGACATTGACATACCGATACCGATTAGCACTTTTAGATTTTCATTGCTCAACAACCAATGAGAATATTTCCAAATTCTTCATAGAATTAAGGTTTTATTTCCACAGTAGGAGTGGAGTGTTGTGTACTAAAGTATACACAATACATGAATCGTATCGTATAGTATAATTGCAATGGATTGATCGCGGTATATGACGTCATCACGCGTTGTCCCACAATTTTCATGTATGAAATATCGTGAATTTCAAAAATTATTTACGATATGTAAAGAGATCTGGAGAGAGAACGGTCTGCGACAGTGAACAAAAACTGTCTATATTTTGAGGTTAGGTCAATTGGATTTTTCCATCAGTTCATTCCTTTCTACAACATATACCAGAATTTCAGCCATTTTCAGAGATTTTTTTTCTTGAAAAAAATGCATTTGAAGGTCAATATCGAGAAAACTGTCAATTTTTGGATGTTAGGTAAATTGGATTTTTTCATCGGTTCATTCTTATCTACAACATGCCAAAAATTCAACCATTTTCAAATACTTTTTTTTCTCGTAACAATGACATTTGGAGGTCAATATCGGAAAAACTGTCCATTTTTTGAGGTTATTTCAATGGAAGATCTGTTCAGTATATAAAAGTCTGCAACATACCAAAAATTCAGCGATTTTCATCGAGAGCCATTTTCTCTATAGTTTAGTGCGGGGAAGCAAGTGAATATCTCGGTAACCGTCAATTAGATTTTTTTGAATCAAATGATTGACACCCTGTAGCTCGAAAACTGGTCATAGGATCGATCTGTAAATTAGATTGTGTAATAATAAATTAGCCGAAAGCCATTTTCCGTACTAGATGTGCGGGGTCCTTTCTAGCCGTTTTAAAATTACCGTGGCATTATTGATAATTTCAGCACTTGAAAATCGACCGAAAAATTCTTAGAAAATATGAAATTGAAAGGTATTTGAGTGATGATTCTATTGAAGAAATAAAAAAAAATTAGTCCCCTCGCTAATTCGATAGGTTGGGCAATCTGGAGGAGGCGAAAAAGAACATCGAAGAGGCCCTGAGTCGGGCCAAAACCGAGGCGGCCAACGATCCCCAGTACTACAACTCCGTGTCAGTCACCATGTCCTACAATTTGGCGCGCCTCAACGAGGCCATGTGCCTTTTCGACAGGGCCGAGAAGCTCTACAAGGTCATCTTGACGGAGCACCCCAACTACGTCGACTGCTACTTGAGGTGAGTCTGTGAGGAATTCATGATCAGAATCTACAGTAAAACTGCATTTATCATGCGATGGTTTTTTTTTCGAATATTTTTTTTGGTACTTACGTATTTTTGTCTGAAAAACACGAATTTGATAATGAAAATGTGAACGAACCATTATTTATCAAGATATTTCACTATAAAGTTACAAATTTCACCTTCTTTTCCGCCTGTCTTCTGGATCGCATTTAGAACAATTTGCCCTTCTTTTTCCATCATTGGACAATTTATCTACAGGGTGTTAACAAATAAGTGTCACAACGGAAAACTGTATTTTTCTCCGGGCTTCCGTTTTCAAGATACAGGGCATCAAAAAATCAAAAATATCCAGTTTAATTAAACACACTTTACAACATTTAATAAACAACAATTTGAAAACCAGCATCGAGACCAGCATACTCAAGAACCTGACATTTGATTGAAGATATTATTAGACAGTTCGGAGGTGTTTATTTCCAGTGGATTTTTAGACGATTTTTGGAGATACCATCAGGATTTTGTATGTTCTTATTCATAAAGAGCCATTTTCCGCGGAAACTTTCCATTTTAGAGCACTGAGATGAGAGGACGTTTTTTGTGTGAAAGATATTGGCGCTTCAGAATCTACTTTGAAAATTACAATTTCTCAAGTGGCATAAATGTTTGGGGGGTTAAACCCTTACGAGGCGTTGAATTTTCCTCCACTGACATGTCCAAGGAAATTGATCAAGAGCTCAAACGGTTCCTGAGATAGTAACAAAAAACAGATTTTTTTGTATCTTCTTGACGCCCTGTATCTTGAAAACAGAAGGCCGGAGAAAAATTTCGAGAGGGAAAGAATTTTTCTTTTTTCATGAGGAATCTACAGTTTTCCGTTGTGACACTTATTTGTTAACACCCTGTATATCACAATGTACGACACATTTTCTTCTATTATATGAGTCAACTAGAAATATGATTTTTTGTGATTTATCCATGTTTAGTGAAAAGAAGGAAGAATATAATTTAAAATAATGGCGTGTGTAATGTCATTCAAAAGCAATCTGTTGACATTTGACATCTCGTATTTGGATTGTTTATTGATCAAATGGCCGTCATTTATGCTTGTTCACGAAATATAAAAAAACTCGTCATAAAAATTGTAAAAATGTGTCATTGAAGTACATCATGAGTCTATAAAGTGTCCAATGACAAAATAAGAAGAGCAAGTAGCTGTAAATGCATCCAACACAAGCGGAAAAAGAAGGCGAAATTTCGAACTTTCTCTAGAAATATCTTGATAAATAGTGGTTTGTTTACATTTTCATCGCGTTCTTCAGACAAAAATACGTACCAAAAAAAAATTCCGAAAAAAAAAACATCGCATGATAAATGCAGTTTTACCGAATCTACTATGTAATTTATGTGAACATTATTTTTTCCTGCAATGGGAAAGACCACTGAATTTTCAAAACGGCGTCATCGTGAGCTCTCTTCCATTCTACTACCAGTAATGAATGAATTTTTTCATTTATAATATACGATAAAAAAGTATTTTAAAATATCGCAACAATAGTGTGACAACTCTAAAGGATCATGACAACTCTAGGTCCAATAGCTGCTGCGTGACAATGCTGGTCACATTATTGCACTAGAGGAGAAGTAGGTGCTACAGCCGAGCAAGAAAGTGACTTATTGCCTTGTCTCCAAATCTTTGCAGGATACGACGTATTGTGTTTGATTTTATTGTGAAAAAGTGAGGTTGTGTTTCAATATTTTACCTCGTGCACGCGACCTGTATACTATTTTAGTTAATTTAATTTATTTTCTTTTTTATTTTAGCCATGTTATATTGTGGGTTTGTGGTTTATGGCATAGACTATTTATGTTATTTTGTATATATCTTTTTTATTCTACATTTTGGACGAGCTCAATAACCAGTACAGGGTATTTGAATGAATAAATAAATGCTATTCTATTCTATCCAGTCTAAAAGCAAAATAAAATCCTGAAAATATTACTATACAGTGTGACCCACTTCAGAATATCAGAATGCGGTTTGATTGCATTTCATAAACGGTCATCTTTGTACAAACTATTCTGAGTGAATAAATGTTTTCAAGTGTGGTAAATATGTCTATCTAGGTTTTCTTGACTTAGAATCAAATAGTGTTTCACTCGTCGAAAACATTTTTAAAAGCTCGTGAACATAAAAAATTGTTCTCTCGCTTCAAAAAATGTTACTTTCGCCACTCGTAGAACAATATGCAATATTTTTTCAACATGTATACAGGTTGGGCTGCATGGCTAGAGACAAAGGTCACTATTATGATGCCTCGGATTGGTACAAGGAAGCTTTGAAGATCGACACCGAACACCCTGACGCTTGGTCTTTGCTGGGCAACCTCCATTTGGCCAAGCAGGAATGGGGACCTGGACAGAAGAAATACGAAAGGATATTGAATGTGAGTTACAACAACTGTCATAATTTATAACGACATTGGGCCTACATTTCTTTTGTTTTCGGTTCTAAAATGAGAAAAACATTTTTTCTACGAACGCTTAACAAAGTAGCCTTTGACGCTTTCAAATTCCAGCACAAAGTTGACGTTTTCCCAGAAATGTCATTCTTTGACAGCATTTGCGCTCGTGAGCGGAAATATTGAAAAAACGCTCGCACATCTCTGTAACCATTACTTATCTATTCTTGAAAACCCCCAATTCTTGTATGATGGAAAATAGTGACAATGAATCATCAAACACACCTCCTGATGATATAGCATGAAGCGCAAGAGTTTGAATCTCTTATAGCGGAGAAATCAAGGAAGAAATATGAATTACAATATGATACAATCATAAATTGGTGCCATTCCGAGATGATGAATATGTATTCAGAAAACGTTTTACTGGCTTATTTTGGTAAAAAATCAAAGACTTTGAAGTCATCAACTCATTGGTCTATATATTCGATGGTTACATGCTTGAATGTTAAAGATAATATCGGAATCAATAAGTATCTGAAACTTATCGCATTTCTCAAGAAACAATCTATTGGATATAAAGCGAGAAAAATCCGAAACATTCACCTGAAAATACCAACAACTTTCTACAAGAAGCTTCCGATGAAGCAAATCTGTTGAAAACGATGAATTATACTTTATATTTAAACTCTTTGTTGTCATCAGAAAGACAGTGTATCTTTATTTCATTACTTCAATGAGTAATGTTCAATTGGATTGCAGAGTTTATCGTACTATGGCTCAGAGGTCTGAAGCTCAGGTTGCCACGCTGGTGGTCCAGTTTCAATTCTCGGTAGGCCCGACATTTTTTTCTGGCTTGTCAGTTATTTCAATTTTTCTTTTTTTGTTTCCTTTGGACATATATGGGATAATATGGATAAGAACTTTTTCAACTATTTCAATCGCTCATACATTCAGGGTAGTGAGCTGCGTTAGTAAAAAAAATCTTGTGTGTATTTCGAGCGTGTTATTGCCGCTCTCCAAAGATTACCGCGCTCCGCTCCGCATCGCGCGCTAACTTTTTTTGTCGAGCGGCAATCTATCACTTTGCGCTCTAAATACACAAATAGCTATTTCAGCAATCGATTCAAATGTCATCCATTTTTGTTCCGAGAAATTCTAACTTCAAGAGCTTCAAGTTGAAGTTTCTCTTACGGACACAATAAAATAATAGGTATGTATGGCTAGGCGAAACTTTTAGTTTCTAGGTGCTAAAGTTGAAGTTTAATACCGAGGAACTAAAAGTGTGGTAACTTCACTTATATTCTATTAATTAGATATCGATTATTTCGATTGCAGAAAAAATAGCATGTTTCATTCGGATGAAATGTGGCTCTGACTGGCAAAATATAGATTGTCAATCAAACTGTCACATTTGATCCTAATTAAACAATGTACTATCATTTGCTTCGACGTTCGTCGAACCGATAGAGAATTCATATAGCAATTCCAGGGGCATACATATTTTTTCTGAGGGGTCGAAGATGAAAACTGTCGGAGTTTGGAAATTTATTCCCCACCATTGGTTCACCATTTTTTATGGGGGTTTTGAAATTAAAAAAATAAGATTTTTCAATTTGCTCGGAAGAAAAAAAAAATCGCGATTCCAGAGGCGTACAATATTTCTTCTGAAGGGGTTAAAAATAAAAAATGTCGGAATTTCGAAATTTGTTCTTTATCATTCGAAAAAAAATCAAAATTGTGACTGACGGTGGACTGATATTTTTCTGGGGTGTTTTAAATAAATAAAAATAAAAAATGTCGGGATTTTGGAATTATTTCCATATAGTGTGCATAAACTTTTCTGAGGACGGTCAAAAATGAAATATGTTGGGATTCGCAAATTTTTCATTTTTGACTTCATTGGCGTACACAAACTTCTCGGAGGAAAGACAAAAATGAAAAATGTCTGAATTGGTAAATTTCATCACTATCTGCTAGTTTTTGTGCTAATTTTTTTGTGTTCTGGTTTTGAAATGAAAAAATCGTGTTTCTCAACTTGTTTACAGTTCGTCCAGTCGATAAAAAGTCTGAATGATGATTCGGTTTTTTTTTTGGAGTGATCAAAAAAAAAGTCAGAATTTCAGGATTTCTCTGCTACCTTTTGAATAAAATTAAAGATTGCTACTTTACTGGTGCTCCCAGTTTTTCAATGAGTGAAAATGGAAAAAAAAATAGATTTCTCCAATTAGATTCGATGTTTGGCGATGGCAAAATCGAAATCGCGGTTCCAGGGGCGTACATAATTTTTTTTCAAGGGGGGCTCAAATTTGAAAAAAATCCCAAATCTTGTAAAGTTCACGACTAATCATTTTTTTCTTCTCTTCCAGAACCCCTCGACCTCTCAGGACGCCTACTCCCTCATAGCCCTCGGCAACGTGTGGCTGCAAACGTTGCACCAGCCCACCAAGGACAAGGAGCGCATCGGCAGACACCAAGAGAGGGCTTTGTTGATGTTCACCAAGGTGTTGAGGATCGATCCGAAGAATATTTATTCGGCGAACGGCATCGGTGCCGTTTTGGCACACAAGGGGGCTGTTAACGAAGCCAGAGACATTTTCGCGCAGGTGCGGGAAGCCACGGCGGATTTCAGCGATGTTTGGTTGAATATCGCCCATGTGTACGTTGAGCAGCGGCAGTACGTTAGTGCTATACAAATGGTAAGAAATATAGGATTTTACCTTTTGGAGAAAAAAAAATGTTGCGCCTCTGAAGTAGGAATTCTAATTTTCTCAAAGATTCAGTGAATTTTCGTTTTTTTTTCGAATCTCGACCCCCTCAGAAAAATAAATGGTACGTCCCTAGAGTTGCAATTCAATTTTACTTTCGGATGCTGTGAAATAAAATACAAACATTCTGTTGGTTTTTCATCTAAACCCCCTCGAATAAATTGATAGTACGCTCCTGAAGTCGCAATTTGAATTACCATAATCTCATACTACTCATACTAGTGTGAACACTATCGATTTACTGGATTTTTTGTGAATAAATACGAAATTTTGTTGAACATAAAAATTATCGTAATTTTCATTTCTACTTTGAGAAATTTTAAAATTGAGATAAAAACTGGCCAAAGGACAACAAAGTTATGAATTTTTTCCGTCAATATTAAAAAATTGCGAATTTGCCCATGTGTACGTCGAGCAGCAGCAGTATGTGAGTACTATACAAATGGTAAGAAATATTGAATTTTACCTTTTGGTAAGACAAATGGTACGCCTCTGAAGTAGGAATTTTTATTTCCTAGAGGATTCTGTGTATTTTCTGTTTTTTCTTTATTTTGACCCCCTCAGAAAAATAAATAGTACGCCACTGGAGTTACGATTCAATTTTCCTTTCGGATGCTATGAATGGAAATACCAAAATTCTCTTGATTTTTTTCTACACGCCCTTAAATAAATAGATAGTACGATCCTGAAGTCGCAAATTGAATAATATACAATATTTTATACTAGTGTAAACAATATCGAGGTACTGGATTTCTTGTGAATAAATACAAAATTTTCTTGAACATGAAAATTATCGTAATTTTCATTTCTACTTCGAGAAATTTTAAAATAGAGGTAAATTCAAGAATTACGAATTTGCCCATGTGTACGTTGAGCAGCAGCAGTATGTTAGTACTATACAAATAGTAAGAAATATTGAATTTTACCTTTTGGAGAAAAAAATGTTACGCCTCTGAAGTAGGAATTTTCATTTCCCCATGGATTCTGTGTATTTTCTGTTTTTTTTTTACAAATTTTGCCCCCCTCAAAAAAATAAATAGTACGCCCCTGGAGTTACGATTCAATTTTTCTTTCGGATGCTGTGAATGGAAATACCAAAATTCTGTTGATTTTTGTTCTAGACCCCCTTAAATAAATAGATAGTACGCTCCTGAAGTCGCAATTTGAATTACTATATCTTATACTAGTGTGAACAATATCTAGGTACTGGATTTTATGTAAATAAATAAAAAAAATTTCTTGAACATAAAAATTATCGTAATTTTCATTTCTACTTCGAGAAATTTTGAAATAGAGATAAAAGCTGGCCAAAGGATAACAAAGTTATAAATTTTTTCCGTCAATATTCAAAATTTGCGAATTTTACCTTTTGGTGAGAAAAAATGATACGCCTCTGAAGTAGGAATTTTTATTTTCATATGGATTCTGTGAATTTTCTGATTTTTTTTCAATTTTGACCCTCAGAAAAATAAATGGTACGCACCTGGAGTTGCAATTAAATTTTTCTTTCGGATGCTGTGAATAAAAATAACAAAATTCTGTTGATTTTTATCTAGACCCCCTCAAATAAATAGATAATACGCTCATGAGGTCGCAATTTGAATTGCCATCTCATACTAGTGTGAACAATACCCAACTTTTACCTTTTGGTAAAAAAAATGGTACGACTCTGAAGTAAGAATTTTTATTTCCATAAGGAATCTGTGCATTTCTGATTTTTTCAAAATTTTGATCCCCTCGTAAAAATAAATGGTACGTCCCTGGAGTTGCAATTCAATTTTTCATCATTATTTCAGTACGAGAACTGCCTGAGGAAATTCTTCAAGTACCACAACGTCGAGGTGCTGCAGTATTTAGCGCGGGCCTACTTCAAGGCCGGCAAATTCAAGGAGTGCAAGATGACGCTGCTGAAGGCGCAGCGAGTGGCGCCCCAGGACACCGTCCTGCTCTACAACATCGCCTTGGTGTTGCAGCGACTGGCTACTTTCATACTGAAGGACGAAAAGTCCACGCTGTCGACCGTGTTGCAGGCCGTACACGAATTGGGCCTGTCCTTAAAGTGAGTCTAAAAAATAAATTGAGAAGAAAAGCAGCATTCACATACTTTTCATCAACTCAATATCAATCGAATCATCTTATATCATCCATCATATTATTAAAATACAGTGTTACTGCACTCAAGCATCGAACATATTGTTTCTTGATCCGGCTCGAAGGACCAAGTAAAATAGTAGATTTCACTTTTACGCTGTTTTTTTCAGGTATTTCAACTATCTGGTCGAGCTGAACGACAAGATGCGGTACGACGTGTCTCTGGCGGAGCTGGAGGCCAGACACTGCAAGGATCTGCTGTCGCAGGCGCAGTACCACGTGGCGAGGGCGAGGAGGGTAGATGAGGAGGAGAGGCTGATCAGGAGGAAGCAGGAGGAGGAGCGGGCGGCATTCAAGATGCGACAGATCGAGGAGCAGGTGAGGAGGAGTTTCCAGATATTTTGGGAACCTACAACTAGGGAGGGTCCATTTTCTAAGGCTTAATAATTTCGATGTCCTTTTTTTTCAGAAAAAAATGGTAGAGTCCCAACGTCTCAACCAAGAAACACAGCTCCAGAAACGTCAAGAATACATAGAAAAAACGAAGAACGCTATGATATTCGCCAGCATGCCCTCAGAAAAGAAATCCAAAGGAAAGGGTAGAGGCAGAGGCGACATCCTCTCAGGCTCAGACAGCGACGATGGAAATACCGACGCTCCTCCAGGTGAAAAGAAAGAAAAGAAAGACAGATCAAGGAAAAAAGAACGATCCTCCCATAAGAAAAAAGGCGGCAGAGGCAGAAAACGTAAAGAAAACTCCGACGACAGCGACGGTAACGAAAAACCGAGAAAGAGAAGCAAAAAAGAAATCAAAGAAAAACCGAAGAAAGATGAAGGCCTTAGCGCCAAACAAAAAAGGAAAATCGTCTCCAAGGCCACAATTTCCTCCAGTGACGATGAAAGTGATAATGACAAACGAGGAAGCGGCGATGACAGTGATCACGGTCCCAGAAAACGCAAAATTTCCTCTGGTTCTGATTCCGCACGCTCGAAATCCAGAAGCAGATCAAGGTCTAAGAGTGGCTCCAGATCAAGATCTCGGTCTAAGAGTGGCTCCAGGTCGAGATCTCGGTCTAAAAGTGGCTCCAGATCAAGATCTCGGTCTAAGAGTGGCTCCAGATCGAGATCAAGGTCTAAGAGTGGCTCCAGATCAAGATCTAGATCTAAAAGTGGGTCCAGATCGAGATCTCGGTCTAAGAGTGGGTCCAGATCGAAGAGCAGATCTAAATCTAGGTCCAAATCGAAGTCTAGGAGCAAATCGCGGTCCAAGAGTAGGTCGAAATCGAAGAGCAGATCAAGGTCTAGGTCTAAATCAAAGTCCAAGAGCAGATCGAGGTCTAGATCTAAGTCTGGCAGCAAGAGTAGATCTCCGTCTAGGTCGAAAAGTAGGTCTAGGTCTCCGTCGAAATCACCTTGAGCTCTACGGATCTAGAGAACTGTAAATGTTATTCATGTTCAATCAAGTATTTACTCTGGGAATGAAGTTGATTTGTTGCCTATGAATATAGATATTTGTAACGTTTTGTATCTAATAATTAACCAATAAAGTTTATGAACTAGTCATGTGGCTTTTATCAAAAAATGTAAGCTGGTTATATTGATGTACAAGTTTTCTAGGAGTAATTCTTATGTTGGGTTTAAGACTTGCCAGGTTCAGATCAAGGTCTAAGAGTGGTTCAAGATCTAGAAAAAGGTAAGAGATCAAGGTCAATGATTGATTCTGATTCGTACAAGAGCATACCAAATATCAAGTTCTAAGTTTTGAAGTCCTTTTCTAGGTTTGAATTTCAGTAGAGTATTTTCATGATTATCCAGCTCTCCTTCAAAAATTATTCTTAGGCATAATAGGTTTTTTTCTAGTTTTCATAGAATGGACATATGGTAACTAAACTATGGAGTAGCAATTTAAAACATTTTAAGTAATATTTATGATTGTCCAAGGTCTCATAATGACCTGCAAAGTACCAGCAATAAGATTAAAATAATTGAGCTAGGAAGTTCTTGAGTGTTGACTCTGATGGGATTAACTCAACAGCAACTCGGAAATGAAACTCTAGCTAGATTTGGACTAAAATAAAAGTCAAAGTAACTTGAAAATGAGATGGAAAGTCTAAGTGTGAGTCAAAGTAGTGTTGGACAATCATTGTAAAAAATAGTTATTTATTTAAAAATCAATCAGCATCAACAAACATAAACCATTTATAATAAATACAAATCACACCACTTAAAATAGTTGTACCATAATAAAATTTGGAAAATTAACCCTATCAAATAATTTATGGTCTAAATATTACCATACTGACTAAGCCTAAAACATATGAGAGTACCAATTTGAAATTAATGCTAAGATGCAGATATGCTGGTATACTAGAAGGTTGAGGTACCTCCTGCTGTGTTGGGAGTATTAATGATACCACACAAACTAGTCCTATAATAATAGAAATTACATAGTTTGTTGAATGAGTGGCTGGCAGTGATCTAGAAAGAAAAAGTTATATTTATAAATAGGTCAAACTTCCTGAGGAGTTTAAAGCTAGCTAGGTACCTGTTTGTCAAGTATATTCTTTGTTCATCAGTGTTACTTCTATCAGTACATGGGATATTTTGGAAATCACCATCATTTGAAATATTGTCTTTTTCTCCTTGTAGTAATGTTGCTTCTATGTCTCTTTTTCCAAGTACCTGATTCCAAAATAGCACATCAATAACTAATGAAATACACTCACCTCTGACCTCATAGAGAACTTTTACCTGTTTTGTAGTATGATCTTGCATAGAAATCCTAAATTTATCTGTGACGTTGCAGCTAACTGGTAGAGGTGAAGTATGCCTTATTATGATATCTACCAACATGTGGGGCCCTATACTACCTTCTGGATCTATTACAACATACTTGTTTGGTGAGGTGCATAGAACTGTAAGGGCTCTAATGAATTCTCAACATTCTTTGTCTTGAATCATCTTTACATACCTTTGAATCGTACTGGAAAATCATAAGGGTTGTAGAGAGTGAGCAGTTGTTTGTGTGTAGTTTTGGAACCTAGATAAAACTTCAGCGTGTTGGGAAATACGAATACTGGAATTTTTTTGATATTAAGACTCATAATATTGTAAATAATGAGTAAACTATGTTATTTGTGTTGAGTGTATTGCTGATATGACTGAAAACCACGAAAACGTATTATTTACTTGTTTTTCTGTATTTGTATATAAATAAAAAACAGCTGTTCCAGCTGCCAGTTTCTGGTTTTTTGGCTCACTGAACAGCGAGAATTGACCAGCCCCGGGGTTCATCGCGGGAAAGAGAAGGACGTATAACTCGCTCTCGCTCAGATGAACCTTTTTTCTTGAAGAAGGAGAATTTTTCTTGAGGAAGGAAAATATTGTTTCTGCATAAAAAATGAGAAAACCTAACCTATCTATTTTATGAGTATATCTGTACTTGTTTCGTTGACCTGTGTAAAACTTAATGTTTATTAACACCAAATAAAATATTCTATTCTATTCTAACCTAACCTAACCTAACCGAACCTCACCTCTGGCCTAAACCACAAACATAGAAAACCCCTAAATGAACCTATTTCCCATAGAGAATATTTTTTAGAAATCACTTGAGAACAAGAAAAAAATAAAAAAAAGATGAGCCTCGCACAGATTCGAACCCCGGCCCGCCGGCTTGGCATGCCGATGCTCTGCCTACTGAGCCAACCAGTTGCTTACGAGACGAAGTATGATGAAGTACTGTGCTTCGGCTATGTGCCAAATGCATTCTCGCGAGTGAGAGGGCATTATATGTCCTTCTCTCTCCCGCGATAAACCCCGGGGCTTGTCAATTCTCGCCACTGAACATGTGTTTGGTTTTCGTTCTGTCACCTTTGTTCTGTCTAATTAAGCTGTCATTTATGTCATTTCATAATCAGGCACGGGACGAGAAGTTGTTTTGTTTTTGTTATTTTGATATTCAATGGTGGATTCTCGAAATTTTGAATGGAAATCGCTAGGTGTGCTTGAGAAAGTGAGATTAAGGTTGAAATGAAACATTGAAACTAGTTCATGAAATTTATTCACTTTCAATAATGCATACATAGTATGGTAACAACAATATTCTTAGAATAACACTAACAACTAAATAGAGTCAGTCTCAAATGAACAAATAAATATGAAATATTATAATATTAATGATAAAAAACTAAAGTTAGTCAACTTCCTCGATAGTCGGACCTCCCTGTCTTCCTTCGAAGCCACCGGCTTGCTGCTGACCACAACCACCTGCACCACCAGCTGCATTAGCTTGAGCCCCACCATGCAACTTGCTCATGATAGGGCTGCAGGCCCTAGTCAGCTGCTTCTGCTTGTCCTCGTACTCTTCCTTCTCAGCCAACGAATTATTATCCAACCATTTCAAGCAATCAGCACACTCTCGCTCAACAGTGGCCTTGTCCTCAGAGGATATCTTGTCCCCGCAATCTTGCACGGCTTGCCGCACCTGGAATACATAACCTTCCAGCTGGTTCCTGGCTGCCACTCTTTGTCTCTGGCGTTCGTCCTCTTCCTTGTATTGCTCAGCCTCGGAAACCATTCTTTCAATGTCCCTCTGGGACAATCTGCCTTTATCATTCTTTATGGTTATGTTCCTGGTGTTTCCAGAGCTGGAATCAGTGGCAGAGACATTCAAGATTCCATTGGCATCCAGATCGAAGGTCACCTCGATTTTGGGGACTCCTCTGGGAGCTGGGGGAATGCCAGTGAGGTCGAAAGTGCCCAGGAGGTTGTTGTCCTTGGTCATGGCTCTTTCTCCTTCAAACACCTGGATGGTAACTGCTGGCTGGTTGTCTGCGTAGGTGGTGAAGGTTTGGGTTTGCTTGCATGGGATTCTGGCGTTGCGCTCGATGATCTTGGTCATGACACCTCCTGCTGTTTCTATCCCTAGGGACAATGGGGCTACATCTACTAATAGGACATCTTGGATCTTGGAGTCAGTTTCTCCGCTTAAGACTGCTGCTTGTACTGCTGCTCCGTAAGCCACAGCTTCATCAGGATTGATGGACAGGTTCAAAGGTTTGCCGCTGAAGAAGTTTTGAAGCAGTTGCTGGATTTTGGGGATGCGAGTGGAGCCCCCTACCAGCACCACGTCTTGGATCTGGCCCTTGTCCATTTTGGCGTCTGTAAGAGCTTTCTCCACTGGCTGCAAGGTACCTCTGAACAAGTCCGAACAAAGTTCTTCAAAGCGAGCCCGGCTGATCTTGGTGTAAAAGTCAATGCCTTCATACAGAGCGTCTATTTCCAGGCTGGCTTCTGTGCTGGATGAAAGTGTTCGCTTGGCCCTCTCTGCTGCAGTCCTAAGTCTGCGCAAGGCTCTGGGGTTGCTTCTCAGGTCCTTCTTGTACTTTCTCTTGAACTCGTCCATGAAATGGTTGACCATTCTGTTGTCGAAGTCTTCGCCTCCTAGATGGGTGTCTCCTGCTGTGGCTTTCACTTCAAACAGTGAACCTTCGTCGATTGTGAGTATGGAAACGTCAAAAGTGCCACCTCCTAAGTCGAAAATAAGGACGTTTCTCTCGCCTTTAAGGTTCTTGTCTAGCCCGTAAGCTAGAGCAGCAGCTGTAGGCTCGTTGATGATTCTCATCACGTTCAAGCCTGCGATAACCCCAGCGTCTTTGGTAGCTTGTCTTTGAGAATCGTTGAAGTAAGCTGGTACAGTGACCACTGCGTCTTTGACGGACATACCCAGGTAGGCTTCTGCGGTTTCCTTCATCTTAGTCAGTACCATGGAGCTTATTTCTTCTGGGGCAAAGGTCTTGGTGTCGCCTTTGAATTCTACTTGGATCTTGGGTTTGCCGCAGTCGTTGACAACTTTGAAGGGCCAGTGTTTGAAGTCTTGCTGGATCTTGGGGTCGTCGAATTTGCGGCCTATGAGCCTTTTGGCGTCGAAGACTGTATTGCTGGGATTCATGGCCACTTGGTTCTTGGCAGCATCGCCGAGGAGGCGTTCTGTGTCGGAGAAGGCGACATAGCTGGGAGTTGTTCGGTTGCCTTGATCGTTGGCGATGATTTCTACTTTTCCTTGTTGCCACACACCTACGCAGGAGTAGGTGGTGCCCAAGTCGATACCGATTGCTGGAGCTTTCACCATTTTTCTGATTGATTATTACTTGTCACTTGCAAATAAACTTGTTCGATATCAGATACTTTCGAAAACGGCGCTTGCGACTCTTGTAAGTTCGTATTCAGTTTGTTTACTTCTGAGCGTTTTCAAATAGACTGATTGAAGCGCGCAATTGAGGTGCTTTTATATGAACGTGGAAATATTACCCGAACGGTCTCGAACAATATCGAACGTGATCGAAGCGACTAGAATATTCTGTGCATTCTGCGTTGTTCGGCGCCTACTTTTCTCCAGCTGTCAACAGTTGTTTACGTCGGAGCACCGTCGGAGTAGGTCGATTGGGCAAGACATCTGTGACAGATATCGAGATATATTATAATATTATTATAAAAGCAAGATCAACTGCGAAGAAATACACAATAATATACATGTTGATATTGATTCACGATTCATAAAGTTACAAATCATTAACGGAACAGATCCCGCCCTATCAAATTAAATGACTCATCATGAAGCATGATGAAGGAATTACGAAATTTCGAGAAAATTTGAATGACTCGAGTCATGAATATCGTTGAATAGGAATGCCTCTTTTTTTCCTATATTTATCTACATTATTCGGATTTCCTTTCGTGCGCTCCAAACGAAAAAAAAAAACATCGTTAGCGTCTGAATTTTTTTCAAATGGGAATATTATGGTAGGTATTATAAAATATATTCATACTTATGCCGCCGTCTATCTAATTTGATGTTCCTCTTAACCTATTGGCATTATGAAAAAAATGCAGAATTCAAAGATGTATCAAGTTGACTAATCTAACAATTTGAGGTATGGTCAGGGTCAGGGCGGTATCATTTCAGCAGGACATTTTTTGGAGTACAAGGGCGAATGCTTTCAAATTGAAAGGCGGATTTCTTCATAACATATGAGATTATATGTATAGAATATATAATGTCGATCATGTGTTGAAAAATATGGAAATAACGAAAAATGAGACGAATCCTTCAATATCAGTAGTAATGATAATATACAGGGTGTTCCCTAATGATATGCTAAAATTCAAGGGGCCGATTCTTCGACCCATTTCAAGAATAAAACTTCACATGAATGTATGTCGTGAACGTCCTAACTTTTGAGATACAGGGTGTCAATGTTGCAAAATATGCATAGATTATTTTTTTGTTCACCCTGTATAGCTTTTCGTGATGGCAAAATTCAGTCTGCTATGTGACTGAATCGGTAAACACATTTCAAAATGTTAAATACTGTGGTTATCCAGTAATGGATTATTTCCTGCATGTAGTACTCTGTCATAAACATTTTAAGTCTGCTGGTCTCGTTTTTCCGTTTTTTCTCGAAAACGAAGCGTTCTATCTAGTATCAACAGGAGGATATCTTTTGTGTACATAATTAAATAGCCTTTTATGACATTGTATGACATTAGAAATTTGTTTGTTGTTGCTCACTTTTAAGTAGAATATAAACAATAATATTACCATAACGGTGCCACTGGTAGAGAAAATGAGAATTTTTGTACATCAGAAAATGCACATTTTTGTACATCAGAAAATGCACCTTGATGCATAAAAGACGTGTACCAAATTTCATGGAGATATACAATATTGTCTCAGTTTCTCAGTTATTATAAAAAAAACTGAATATTTTTCAAAACTTCATCACCCTGTAGGTATCTCAAAAGTTAAGACTTTTAGGACATACGATCTCGATAGAATCATCCTCTCGAATATTAGCATGTCTTTAAGGAACACCATGTATAACTTTTATCTTAGTTGAAAAAAACTGACTGAGAATTATTGAGGTTGAAAAAAATTGGATATGAATGCTTCTCAGAGTTTATTATAGATATTTATTATTTACAACCTATTCAGTCAACCTGTAAATATAATTATGTCTGGGTATTTTTCATGTCGACCTTTGATAACGATAATTAGATGATATTCGAGTATATATTTTGAATCTATAGATTTTCCCCTAAAATATTAAATTATGCCTTGTTGCGCAGTTTACAACCGCCCTCCATATCAATTCGGAGAAATTCTAGATCTTTCCTCCGAATTCGATCGAGTGCCTTGACATCTCTCCATGTCTGACATTTCCATTTTACTTTTTATAATGTACAGGTTCTCTAGAGGCCTGTTCGTTTGTATTGCTAAACTGGCTAAAGTTGTTCTTTTTTCCATAGTTGTCTCTGTTCATGCTATGATGTAAACAAAGAAAGTCATAGAAAAAAATCAAGTTTAGCAGGTTGAGCAAGCACAAACGAACAGGCCTTAGGTTTCATTTTAGAGCAAAATATCTTTGATGAAAACATGATTAAAGCAAACTGAAGTAATAGTAGCTCCAAAACATAGAAAACTTTCAGAGAACAATGAGAACATCATGCCTGGGGTACCTGGTATAGGTATAGGAGATAATAACATGAGAGTTCACTGAAAATTTAATGTTTTTATTAAACCAGAATATCAATTTATTTTATTAAAATGTATGTATCTAACCAATAAGAAAACAACAGATTTGATATAATAACCATATATATACATTACATTATATTCATTATAAGGTAGGTACTAGAATTAGGTAGGTATTCCAAGAGTTCTCCTAACAATTTTTTCTGCTATCCTATCAAACTCTTCTCTATTTTCTCTCCACATTTTAGCTGCATCCACATTGGCCCCACTCTCATCATTAGGTTCTGAATTAAAAAAAACCCATGTTCATAAAGGAAATCAGGAACAAAAAACAACAAGAAATTACCTGCCAACATACTGATTACAGATAGCAATATTTTTTCAACACTTTGAACAGGTGACCATCTTTCTGCACTAGATTCATATCCCATTGGATCATCTCCAGGAGCATGAAGAATTGAAATACATACTCTACCATCTGAGTAAACTGAAAAATTAATGATCAGCTTCAGTGGATGATTTATAGGGTTTGCATAGTGAAAAAAACTGATGAAAATTATTCTCTCTTCATCAAGTTCTTACTTCACTTTTAGAAAACTACATTTAAACTCACTGTTTGGATGGAACATCTCACAAGTGAATTGCATTTTTGGCGGACTAAGTGGATAATCAGGTGGAAATACAAGCTTAGCAGGAAAGACACCCCCTTCAAAGCAAGTACCTTCAGGGCCCCTAAAACGCAAGAAGGTTACATCCAAATAGACAAGTTTTGTATGTCTGACTTTACGTTATCAGGGCCTCCCACTCGAAGAAGTTCTCTTCGTTGATGGGACCTGCTATGATGCCTTCTGGGGGGTTCAATGTGAGCTCTGAAAAAATAATGTTGGGGGAGATTTTCTTCCAAGTTTATTGTTGCTTACGTTTGTATTCGGCCATCAACCTTCGTAATGCCGAACCAGCCATGATTTCGAGAAAATACCAAGATATTTATTATGTATTTTATCGAGAAAAATCAGTAAACAGGAAAAATAATATCACAAGACAAAAATAAAAATAACAAACTTTGAGATGACGTCAAAATGTCAAAGTCGAAAATATGTCATGTGTCATATTAGTTATGTCATCCACGATACGATCATTCATCCACGTAATCGTTCGTTCTTGATCTCTTCTTCTCTGGTTTTAACTTGTGAGAGGTTACTGCCTTGATCATTGCTAACAGTTCAATAGCACACCAATAGATGGCTCTAGAGTCGAAATCAGAAGGAATTCAGAATACAGTGAAAATGGTAAAATGGTGGCAAAATAAAATTATGATTGTCGGCATTGAGTATTGAATTGAAGGTCTCGACGATTGGAACAAATAGTCGTCATCAGCGACCTCGTTTCATTCGAAAAAAATCTTCGATTTTTGTTCTAGGTTGTCGGCTTGTTGTCGGTTAGAATGATTTTGTGATTACATCAGGATCAGGAACCTTTTCTGGATATACCCCAAGTGATTTAAATCTCGCAACGAGTCTCGCAACATTTAGATTGGGTTTCCTGATTGAGATGTGACTATTTTAACATGTTGTGCGGCGGTGTCACAATGGACTAGAAAAATGATCAGAATTCATTCGAGAATTCATTATCCTGAAAAGAAAAGGATATAATGTTTCCCGACCAAAATTTCAAATGTTTCGTCACAACTTCAAGGACCGATTTCAATAGCATCAGTTAAAAGTTATATGTTCCATTATCCTGATCAGGATCTTCATGATGAGCGATTTTTTCATCCAGAAACATGGCAGTGTCTTATATTGCGCTAAAAGTATATTAGAGTGTGGTATGAAAATAGTTAGGTACATCCAAACAGACGGTAGTGCCTTGCACCAAGTACTCGTATGAAATAAAGATTCCGGAGAGAGAGCCTGATAAACAGTAACAACATCCCAAGACAGCCAACGGGTACACAAATTAACCACTTCCACTATACGGGGCGGTATTTACAAAAAATATATATCATTCAACATATTCGATTTTCGACAAAAATGTATTCTTTCATTTCGTTTTGTTTTCTCGTCTCTTATCATCCATTTCAATGATCTTTCCACTTTCGGAAATACCCAGAATGAAACCGATCAGTTGCTCTAGTTTTTCAAACTACTATATATATATTATACACACCATCGCTAATCTCTTTCTTCTGGTGTGTTCGAACAATAAACCCTATTTTCATCAGTGGTTTCCGTTCGGAGCGTCCAATAAATTTATATTTCCAATTCCACGTTCAGAATTTGCATGCAACGTTCGGCATCCAGCGATGAGTCCCTATTGTTCAGCCAGGAAAGGGAATATCAAAGTGCGGTTTGAAGCCAAATATTGACGAATAGAAAGCCGGCAGGGCGAAATCCACAAAGCAATATTACTCTCTCTCCGGCTGCGCTCACAGGGAATTGTTTATGGTTGACTCGAAATGAGAGAATCGCTTAATCCGAACACCAGGCCTTTATGATATTGGAACAGAGAACAGAGAGCTGGAAACTCGAGAGGAGCACGATGCAAACTTGATGTTTATGAAAGTTTCACGGTGTTTGCCAAATGTTATGAGAAAAGTTACCGGGGCTCTTCAAAAGTCCTAATCAAATATAAGGTACCGCACTGAACTGGATTACTTCAGATAGGAAGATTGAAAACTATCTGATTCCAGTTAGGTATAACTTTTCAAGACATTTTGCACTCGCACTGTTGGACGCGGTCTGACACTTATAAAGTTTTCAAATTGTCTCTCTGTCTCTCGTCACAGTGGAAAAAAATAATTTCTGGCTAAAATCTTCTGAATTGTAAGTATATGCCGTATTTTTTTTTTTTACATCGGCTTGTTATTTATAAAATCAGATGTTAGAACTAGAGCTGGAATTGTTGTTACTTTGGTAGAGATCATAGTGATAGTGATATTATAGAAATAGAAATAAACTGACCGGTGAAAAAAATGAAAAAATGAACAGAGCTGGAAATTTGAGAGGAGGAGGATGCAAACTTGATGTTTATGAAAGTTTCACGGTGTTTGCCAAATGTTATGAGAAAAGTTACCGGTGCTCTTCAAAAGTCCTAATCAAATATAAGGTACCGCACTATTATTTTATATTTTTGTTATGTATCATCTTTATATAGTTGGTAACACAGTGAAACAATAGCAATTTTATGTTATAGCCGTAGGTAATACCTATAGTTTCCTTCTATCAGTCACCAATTGGGTCAGAAAAATAAGAAATTATTATTCTTATTTGATTCAGCAGAATATATCCTGATTCTCGTATCGAATAATATATATCATCATTATTCCAACAGGATCAAACAAACAAATTGCACTCCTTCTTCCTTTCCTTTAACTTCTGCTCTAATATATGAATTCAGCAAACAGTGGAGGCAGGGCAGGGGTGGATTTCGTCCAAAGTACGAACATTAGCGATAATCCCCCGTTCCCGCAATAAAAGGGGAGTTAATTTGATACGACTGGTTTCATAACAAGTGCATAAATGCCTCTCGTAAATCAAACCATCATCTACGATGAATAACCGACATTAATAAAGGACCACAACGGCTTTTCAACAGTGTCATTGACAATCTGTGTGTCCTAGACTGAAATCTAAGTATATACTGGGTGTCCCAGAGCTTCTAGGCCAGCATGTATCCGGGTTATCTAACATACAAAAATTACAAAAAAAGTGGAATATCTCTATATGGCAGCAAGAGCTCTCCAAAATGGTGAGATAAAATCACCCTTGTGATGACAACATAGAAACCACCTCTTAATTTGTTAAGAAATCAATTTGATTGACTGCAAATTTGATAGTCAGTTAATCTACTGAGGGAAATTCTTGAGTGAATTCTTCCCAATAATGACGATGTTCATGACAAATTTGATTGAATAGCACAAATATTGGAATAAAACAAACCAGAAACCATATTAGAGTGGCTTTTACACAATCATTAGATTGTTTGGGATCACACGTTAAAAGGTGAGACCACCGTCATTCCTTGCTCGCAGTTCGCACAAGTTTCTTGAAGACTTCTGATGAGGGGGTTGCTCGGAAGGGGGCAGCCGAATGATGGATAAGAAGAACAATTTCAGAATAATTTGATGAAAAATGTTAGAATCACTCAATCTCGAGAGATTTCACCAAATAAAAATTGGTGAAAGGGTCGGTCCATGCACAGTATATTGTCAGCGTCTCAGTCATCTCACTGTCTCAGTCCCTTTTCAACGTGCAAACAGTGAACAGTGTATTTGGGAATGACATGTCGACATTGTCGACCGTTCTAAGTCACCAGTCACTCACCACTATATTATGTAATAATTCTAAATGAAGAACTTCGTAGTGAAGGAATGTCCGAATGTCTCTGGTCATTGTTAGATTGTTCTAGAATATTTTTTGAGTCGAAAAGTATCAAATCAAAAGTACATTACTATACTAGGATGAAAAGTGACACTTGGGAAGTGAAATTTACAGGGTGATATTTCAAGTTATCAGGGGTGGTCCATTTCTAGTATGGCCACCCAGTATACTCGGATGCTTATCACCCTGTATGGAAACATTAGCGTCCACCCCCTGCTCAATATAGAAGAGAAGTTAATTCGATTCCACGGCTGCCTTTCATAACAAGTGTATAAATCGGACCATAAATCAAATCATTATCCCTAATAAGCGATAGGGATCAACTGCGGAAGCCACAACTGTTAGATTTAGTCGAGGATATTCGATTTTAATGAATTCACTCACAGCGGAGTTTTCAGCACACGCCACTTCACACTCTGTCGTATTTCCCTATAACTTGGTCGAGTCGTATAGTCATAGACAATCGAGTACCTATTTGGAAAATAAACGAGAAAATTCAACACCAGTAATGTTTAACCTAAGTTTAACCGACCAAATAGTGGACTTTCTTTTGTCGTGGGATTGATGGATGTAATAGACCTCTGATGTACGCACTTGTGGTACTACACAATGAGTAGAAACCAACAATCAATAGGCTAAGAATTCATTAGTGCCCACGCCAACTGGAAACTGGATCTATTATATTATAGAATGTCATACCACTACCTGGGCCTTTGGAAGCCTAAGATTCGAAATCTTTGGTGTTGATATGCTTCAACAGGAATGTCTAATTAATCTATGATGGACATACTAACCGTCATCAGGAGCAGGATGAACAGAATATGGCAGCGTGTAGAAACTCTCATAAAATCCCATCTACTGTTTTTCGGTCAAAGTAGTTGACCTACGGCCTACTTGACAAAATGATTCTTTTCAATATCGCGGAATATAGATCGCATTTTACCCGTTAGATAGCGAAATCTCAACCAAAATTCAAGGTTGGTAGAAATGATGATAATTAAAATTCCCCAAGATTACAGTTTCGTACTTTCAAATTTTATCTCATTTGATTTCAGGTTATGTTTTGAATGTTATGATATTATTATTTCTGGTGCAAGTGGTGTGTAAGGTAAGCGCCGTTTACTGTTTCCTGTCATGAAAGAAATCTGTAAAAAGTGTCGCCATCTTGCGGACAACTGAGAACTATCATGCCATTATTGCGAAATCTGTGGTGAAGGGACCAAGCGTTTTGGGAGAGAGAAGACACTGTCTGTGATTACAACACATTCTATCCACCTTGATCACGGCGTCACGGAAGTTGGGTAAGGAGAATCAGGAGAAGAAAGAGTAGATATGTGTAACGGTAAAAGGAGCAAAATGGGCGACCCATGGGCGACCGCCTCCCTTTTTAATTTTATCTCTACTACTAGTATATTATATTGTTATGATTTATATTAATTGTTTTGATATTGATATAAAAATTTGGTTGTTGTAGTAAATTTGTTGTACACAGAAATGAATGGATTTAATGCGAAATATTTTATTTTCAAACAGATTGCCTAGATAGATATACTTACACTTTCCTCTTTGTAGTCTCTTGCAATTACAAAATTTTGCAAAAAAAACACTCTTGCTCAGGGTAGAATTCTTGAAAAGGTTATTTTTGTATTGTATTAATGAGATAAATACAGATGATTCCAAATCAGATTGGCATTTTATCATAAAACTCAGCA